TCTGCAAACACTAGAAATTCTAGAGAATGCAACCAATCACTACTGAGAGCTTTTCTTAGCAAACTTTGTTTTAAGCAAACTTTTCTTAGCAAATTGTATTTTTTGGCTTCTGCTTTTCCTCTGTCTTCCATATAATTTTCCCTTCTATGAATAGTTGAAGTTGTTAGAGACCTAAGATTTTCCATTTAACAGGGAGAGGCCTACTACAGGAGGTGTGCTTTGACCTGAGTTTTGAAGGGAAGCCAGGCAAGCCAAAAGGTGGAAGTGAGCACATTCTATGAAAAGACACAGATTTAGGAGGTGGAGAATCTTGAATAAAGTACAGCAGGTAGACCATCTTGGCTGAATCATAGAGTGCATGGAGGAGAATAAAGCATAAGAATACTATAAAAGTAGAAGAGTGGTGTAGTCAGATCTGTACTTCAGTGGTCCCCTGAGAGGAGAACGGATTGGAAAGGGGAGAGACTTGAGGCAGACGTGGAGACACTTAAACAGTTGCCAGTCAGTCAGGCAAGATGCACAGAGGGAGAAATCTCTTGTCAGTAGGTCTCTGAAGGTTAAGGAAGAAGAATCATGGGAACATGTGGAAATGTATGCACGTTGCCTTACTACCTGTTCTGGTAAAGCATTGTGATATCATGGATAGAATGCTGGCCTTGGAGTTGAGAAGATCTAAATTTGAATTATGCTCCTGGTACTTAATAGCTATGTGACCTTTGGCAAGTTAATTAACTTTTTATTTTAATTTCCTCATCTACAAAGTGGAAATAATAGTAATAGCACCTACCTTATATGGCTGTTGTAAGGATGAAATGTGAACATATATATATATATATATATATATATATATATAATATATAATATATATATATATGTATGTATGTATATATATATATATTACATATATATGTATATATATATAATATATATATACACATACATATATATATATGTGTATATATATATATATATATATCACTTTGCAAACCTTAACACTTTATGTAAATGTTAGTTATTATTGTTTTTATTACCTCTCCCATTTTCTCATTGACCTGTTGCTCTCCGTCAAAACTTGCAGTAGCTGGCGGGGCTATCAGGAACACCTCTTTACATTTGCAACTATTTAATGTGACAGTTTTTACTCATTTGTTAAAAAAGTTAAATGTCAAAATGTTTTTTTCCCACGATTGAAGTGATTGATCTGTATCCTCTGAAGTTGCTGTACTCTCTTTTTATCTGTTTCCACTTATAAAATAGATGTACTTTTTTTTTTACATACTTAGCCACCTACCTCTTGACTCTTCTGCTTGTCTTCCAGAATGCAGATTCTTTAGTCTTCAGGGCAGTATGCAAAGTACAGTTATTCAGTGTGGCTAGGGAGTTTTAAGTTAGGGATGTGGGAAAAATTTTGTTTAATTTTATCTAACACATTCTAAATGTGCCCAGAAGCATGCCCTATCTATGGCAAATTGAAAAAAATCAAATGCAATCATAAAATACTTCTGCAAAACATATACTTGTTTTTCATTGAGTTATTTTCTTTTGTGAGAAAATGTGAATTAAGTCCTGGTTAAGACAAGAACTGTACACAAGAACTAGCTGTTTACAGAACTACCATTGAAATTCTTTACCCAAAAATAGCCTCTTAGGTGTCTCTTTTCCCTCTACCAGATTTGTGTTTTGTAAATAGATTCTCCTTCACTGGCCTTTCAGAGTACATGGAATATTTTGCAGGGTCATCGTTTGAAATAGTCCAGATATATTTTCTACTGTTCTTCTAAGTCTCGTTTTTTTTTAAAAAAACATAGGAGTTGTTTGCTAAAGATTTACAAATATTATCCTGATGTTTCCATTTATTTAATAGTTCCGTTCTCTCACAATAGAATTGACTTGCCCAGTTGTTTATAAAAAATTTTTTAAATATTTTTTCTTCTAAACGATAGTAATCATCAATGAAAACAGAAGTTGACATAATACCTGTAATCATGAATTTTGTTACCTGAAGTTTGCTTTTAAATGTAATTATTAATTTTAATAAGACTGTAACAAAAATGCCCTATTTACATTTTGTCTCCTTACTTTTTCTTGTTTTTTTTTTTTGGTGGGGGTAGCTTTTGTTGCTAATAATCCTTATATGTTATTTTACTTATTTCTTCATCATGTATTGTTCCATATAAAATTTTCCGTAGTGGTTGGCATCTTTGGTGTTTGCCATTTCTCCATTATATAATAATATTTTATTGTATTCATGCCATTATTGTCCAAGAAGACCTCAGCTATCTCAGTCATTATACAGTGGCTTACAGTTGCAAATAATTTCATTATGAATACTTTGTACAGATAGTTTTTTTTTCTATTAGTAACATTACTATTCCGCAGTGAGACTTTTTTTTTCAATAGCCTCACCAGTATTGAGTTTATTCAGAGATATTTGCACTTCTTTTTCTCAAGTCATTAGAGGGTTTGAATACTTTTTCAGGTTATTTTTTTTATAATTTTTTTTCTTTTCAAGATCTTTAGAAAAAGAGAACTTGGGCTCAAATCCCAACTCTGCCATTAACTGTGTGACGTTGGTCAAGTTATGTCACTTTGGGACTAATCTGAGGAAAATGAGGAGGTTGCTGCTAGATGACCTCTGTGGTAACTTCTGGCTCTAATCTTGTCATTCTGTGATGTAATCTTATCATGTATTTATTCATACTTCAGCCATTTTCCTTTGGAAAGTGAATCCTACTCTTAATTCCTTGATTTTTAAATTTTATGTGTCAGAGTTTTATCAGAAATATTAATAGTAAACATTTTCCCTAGTATATTTCTTTCCTTTCTAATGTATTGCCTTCTGTTGTATAAAACTCTTTATTTTTAGCTGTTCTAATAGATCTTTTTTTCCTCCAATATCATCTTCAATTCATTGAAAAGATAATAATTTTTCTGCTCTTTCAAGGTGAATTAGATATATTATAATTTTTATTAGTTTTTATTATTTGGTCATTAATATGTTGAACTTATTTACTGCATTGTATGTGAAATATGGACTCAATCTCGTTTTTCTGTTTATAATTTTCAACAACAATTATTGGCACTCTTCCTCAAAGTTTATAATCTTCAATTTATGAACTACTAGTGTATTACATAACTTTGGTTCTAATTGTGAATTTTTGGTTCTGTTCCATTCATCTCTTTTCTGTTTTATCTATATATTTTAATAAGTTAATGCCTTATGTAAAGTTAATTTTTAAAACTCTGTATCTTGTATATATTTAAATATGTCCATATTATTTCTTCCATTAAAATGTAAGCCATTTGATGATTTTGCTTTTGTTTTTGTATGTTCAATGCTTAGCACAGTGAATAGCACATAACAGACTTTTAATAAATTATTGTTAAATATAGTTATAAATATAGTATAGTTAAAATAGTTAATAAAACCAGATCATCTAAATTAATAATTAATACCCTTCTTTGGGATAAGACATTCTTTTCTAAGTATAATTTTCCTTGGCGTTATTATAACCACTTGTTCAGGCATATATATTTTGTTATCAATTTATCTAATTATCTAATAAATATATAATTATCTAATGAAATATAATAGATTAGGATTCTTTAAAATTATATATGCGTTCCTGCACATATGTATATATTATAATTTAAAATACATGAATGGAATAAATATGTATGTACATGTATAGAGCTATCCATACACATATATACAAATATATGTATATAAATTGAGTAATACTGCCATCTTTACTCTATTAGCTCATCCTGACCATGGTATTAAATAGTTCTCCTGTTATTTAGTTTTACCCTTTATTTCTGTCCAAATTGTTTTTGTAGTTGTTTTCATGTAGGTCTTATATTGGGTGCCCCAAAACCATAGTATGGACTTTAGCTAGTAAAGCTTTTGAGACACCCTGTATGTTTCTTAATAGGTTAATGGCCAAGTATTTGATACATTTTACCATTATACACGGTATTTTGAAATCCATTCTCTTAATTATTTAGACAGTGGGAATAATTTTTAAGATCAAGAGCTTATTGAGCAAAGAAAAATATAAATAGATATCCGCAGTGCTGCTTAAGAGTCAAAGATAAGAAAAACTTAAGATGTTACAAGTAAAAATCATTTGGCTTTCCATCATGGAAGAAGTCACTGTCTGTGCTGCTTATATTTTTGTAATATTATTTTGTGTGTATGGGTTTTTTTCCCCCTGCCAACTAGATTATAAACTCCTGAAGATCAGACACTTACTGCTTTATATACCCTATAGTACAATATTGGCTTGGGGAATAAACATTGATTAGTATAAAGTGTGTTTGACAAAATTAATAAAATGTATTTTATTTTAGTGAAAAAACATTTTCTAAAAAAAAGGTTAAAAAAGTAGCTTATAGGTGACCTCACCTCCCATTATCTAATGTAATGTGGTACTAACTGTAATGCTCAGTGTATAGTAGCTACTTCATAAATAATTGCTAATTTATTTTTCCACATTTTTAACATATTGATACCTTCCCATTCCTACTCTGGCTACAGAATGAAAGCTAAAATCACAGTATTAGATATTAACTTACAGTATTTTATGTCCTTTATGGTTTGGAGGCTGCTTCTCCTCCATGTATCATTTCACCCTGACCTAAATTAAATCTGGACAGAAATTTGAAGTTTTTTTTTTTTAAACTCAGGATAAATATTAATTTCCAGGTGCTAGTAGATGTTTTACTTATGCACAGGTAAGAATATATTAAAGTATTCTTTTCTCATAGCATAAGAATAGCTAACTTGATATCATCTGTTATCAATCTAGTGAAATTTTATTTGTCTTCTTGAAAATTTGCAGACTGTATACATGTGGTGACATATGTCGTTATTCTCATTGATTTATCTACCTATTGGCTACTGATGGTTACAGTTGTTTCTGTGGTTGTTATAATTACCAAATCTTAATTCAAAGCCTTGTATAATCTAATTTATTTTCCTAACTTTTATGTTAAAGGGAAAATCTACAGCCTTCCGGGGAGCTTTTCCTCCAGTGTGGAATCCCATAGCATATCTGGATTACAACAATCTGTGGAGGACAATAGATCACATGGGGAAGGAGGTATGTTGGGTGTGAAGCTTCCATAAGAGGCTTATTGAGTAATTATATACTTTATTATAGCCTCTCCAGTTATATTAAATAACTTTGAGTAATCACTTCCTATTAGGACCTTTGGCTCCAACATATAGTGGAAAGGTACTGGCTCTGGACTCAGAGTACCTGGGTTCAAATTCTACCACCTTTGAATCAGAGGAATCCCACCTTTATGATTTTTGACAAGGCTTATTAACCTCTCCTGCATCTTAATTTCCTAATCTATACAATTAAGGGGGCTTAGGCTAGATAGATCCATGATTCTCATCTATGAACTGGCAAAGAAGTGTATACATTTTTTTTTCATAAGTTAACCACAGATAATGTGTGAATTGAAATTCACTTCTCCATATTCACATATTCCCTATGTTAATTTACTGTGTGGTAGAATTTCCTGTGTAACTGGGCCATTAAGAAAGGCTCTCTATTTAGAATTCAGCATTGCTCTGCAGAGGAGCATGGATATGGTCTCTAAGTATTGTATATGTTTTCCTTTCAGATTCCTTCTGAGGCTCCCTGGCAGGCACCTCATGCTGAAGAATGGGACAGGATGACCATGAAGGAGCTCATTGAAAAAATCTGCTGGACAAAGTAGACCTCATTTAATTTTGGAATTCCTTTTTTATTCCCTACCTCCTTTTAGCCACTGCCTATGGTGATTTCCTTGCTAATTTAGGAGAAAGTAAAAAAAAAACACTCACTCTCCTGATAAGTAGCAACCTTAAGGGAACTGTTCTTGCACTTAGATCAGGGATATCCTTATCCTCTTCTAAGCCATGGATCCTTTTGGAAGTTTGGTGAACAGTATGAGCTCCTTCTCAGAAAAATATTTCTAAATGTATAAAATTAAATATTTAGAGTTACAAAGGAAAATAATTATAATATAGTTATCAGAAGTTTAAAAAAATCTATGATGAAAGTAGGATTTTTTTTAATAAGGTGGAGTTGTCCAGTAGTATAAAAAAGGTTATCACTTTTTCAGTGCTACCGAAGTAGTATAGGAATGGCTAAGAAATATGTACCATATTGTTATTGTAGAAAATGGCAGTCACCATTGGGCTGCGTTAGTGTATCCTTGGGTATGCACACAAAGCAAGTTTTTTCAAGAGAGGGCATTTCATTAGTCAAGAAAACCTGGATTCAAAGCCAGCCTGAAAAATTTAATAGCTATGCAGCCCAAGTCTAGTCACTTAACTTTTCTCAGCTTTGATTTTTGTCATCTGTAACATGAACATAATAGTAGTGATCCAATTCATGGGTTGTTGTAAGAATCAAATAAGATACCGTCATGTCAAGTACTTTACAAACATAAAGTGCTAGTGGTGTTGAGTCATGTTAGTTGTGTCCAGCTCTTCATAACCTCATTTGAGGTTTTGTTGGGAAAGATAATGGAGTGTTCTGTCATTTCCTTCTCTAGTTCATTTTACAGATAAGGAAAGTGTCATAAGCAGGGTTAAGTGACTTGTCCAAGGTCACACAGCCAGTAAGTATCTAGGTCTGATTTGGACTCAGGTCGTCCTGACTCCAGGTCTGTGCCACCTACCTGTGAAAGTTCTGTGGTAGATGTGAACTATTGTTATTATGAGTCCAACATGGGATAGACACATCTTTGTATAATTCTTCCTTATGCATATTATCCTCAGTCTCTTTAAATCAGTTGGTGAAGACATGTGCAGAACATTGGAAGTTTCTTTATTATCTTTATTATCACCACTTTATTATCCTGTCACCTCACTCATATCAAACCAAACTTACCCTGGTATTCTGGTTTCACTGGAGTGAGGACAAAGAGCCAGGTACCCAAAGTAAAGAAGAATCCAGGTCCTGCCTGGATTATGTGTGCTGTTACCCTTGGCTACAGCAGTAGTTGCCTGCCTCTGACTAATAGTGCATTGGGGCCACAATTAAAGTAAAAAATTTAAATACCAGTTGCTTTAAAGTGCCACTTACTAAGGTAAATGTTTATGCTTTAGGCAAAGACTGATGCTAAAATTAGAAAAGGTTATAAATGTGTGTTATCATTATTATTATTACTCATTAGACAGCCAGCCTTAATGAGATCTTCTCTGTCATTCTTTCTCTGTTCATAAATAAAATTATAAAGTAGACATGAGCCTATTCTGCCCATGCAACTTTAAACCTGAAGGATGCTGGACAAAAATCCATGGCTTAAACAGCATCCTGATTTTCCTGGAAGGAATTACATAATTATATACCAAAATTACAGTACAGTTCACTAAATTGGATTGCTTTAGGGGAAGATCAGGCTAAGATAGTGACACATGTGAGTTGTAGCATATTTTCAAAAATATATAGTTTTATGACTTTCACCTCTATATAGTAAAACAAACTAATGGCTAAGGCAATATTGCCAAGTGAAGATTATTTGGCTTTAATGAATTCCTAGGGATCATTTCTAATGAGCTCATTTTGTAAGGTGTACAGATAGTTGCTACTTATTGCTTAGAAGTAGTTTCTACCTACCTCACAGAGTTGTTGTAAAGGAAGTACTTCTAAACCTGAAGTCACTATAGGAATATGAGCTGTTATTGTTCTCTGAAGGAGGTTGTACTTTTAAAGGCCCTCTTTATGTGTCCAGAGAGAAGGTGCTTTTAGTATTGGGGTTGGGGTTATCTAAGATTAATGGTCCATGAGTTCTTGTTTGTCCTTCCCCAAGTATGTGGTATACCCCTTTATAAGAAATGCTTGGTCAGAATGCAGTGAAAATCAGCTTGTCTTTGTTTGAAGGCAAAACCCATAATAAAGATATCAAATAAGATTTAGAGAGAACAGGAAATTCCCAAGGGTAAGCAATGGCACTTTGCCAGGCAGTTATGAAGTAGGGCAGGGGAGGAAGTGAAGAAAAGATAAACTTTGGGAGGTCCCAGGAAAACAGCAAAAGCTGATTAATGAGCCAGACAGGACTTAAATTGATCATGGTTATATTCAGTTTGGTGTTGCAGTTATACTTGCAATTTGTTGACTTCTGACACTGTCTCGTATCTGCACCCTGGGACCCCTTTACCCTGAAGAGCTCTAAAGCTCCCCAGCATCATGTTCATATCACCAAACTGGGATAGTGGGTTGTATGAATTATGAGATTTTATTTGAAATTTCTACTTCTGTACTGTAATATGACCCATGAACTTGCCTTTTGTCTAGAAACAATGTACAGCTATGGGATTCCCAGAGTTTTGGCTTTGTAAACAAATAGGGATTATAATAAACTTTATTTTGTAAATTAAGGACTTGGGGGAAATCTTTAATTGCAAATATGTCTATATTAGACATTTTCTTCCTTGTAAGCCATGATCTGTAGGCTGTTAGCAAGAATGTTGAATGTTTAGGTTACTATAATATCAGAGCATATGAGGAAAAGCCAAAGATTTTCTGAAAGTGGGTCAGACTTTGTTCCACTCCTACATCGAAACCCCCGCCTCCCCAGGTCCAACAAAGACATTAGGGGAAAATAAGAAGATAGGTGTTTTAGTGGTGATAGAAATGTCCACTGAAATAAACAAGAATAGATGGTTAATGATATGTAAAGGATCATAGCTTATTGCATGTATGTGAACATGTGTTTGGCCTTTGTTGTCTTTCCTTTGGCAGAACTGCCAGGCAATTTGCTTTTCTTTTTGTGAATATCAACGTTACGTCTGAACCTCATGAAATCTCTGCCCTCTGGTTCCTGTGGTATGTGAAGCAGTGTGGAGGCACAACTAGAATATTTTCTATCAGCAATGGGGGCCAGGTATGCAATGTATTTGTTTTAACCATACTTGTGGTTATAGTCTAGCTTTGTGACAAACTGACAGTGATGTCTTAATAACTGTCTTAATAGTTTGGGGAGTGAGTAAATGTCAACTTGAAAATTCTAGTATGAGCTCTTTTTTTAAAAAAGTCATTTCTTATTTTCATTCTTCTCATTCCTGAAAAGAAAGATTTAAAAGTTGGAAGATCTCTTTTTCCCCTTTGAGATCAACCTCTTAGAAGTTAGAGAGATGTACCTTAGTCAGCCTAGCTTTGCTTAATTCCAGAATGTATTTTCTCTCATTCCTTTATAAAGAGGTATTATAAGAACTTGGTCTTGAAGCCAGGAGAACCTGAATTCAAATCCTGCCTCTGACACATCTTGGCTGTGTTACCCTGAGCAAATTGTTTAATCTCTCAGTGCTCAAGACAACTCTCTAAGACTCTAAGATGTAGAGAAGATCCCAACCTCAATGGTATAAGACTTTCCTCACCTGGAAGCCCAGAGTACCAAATAATATCATTATCTCTTTTACAGCCTGCTATGGTGTTTTCCTTAGTAACTTAAAGGAAAGATGTGAATTAAAACAGAGTCTTTAATTTCCTAGTCAAATAACTCATGCCATCCATTAATACATATACATATATATAAATAAACCTTTTGGGTATGTATTTATATTTTCAGCCTCTACAACTGTTGGCACAGCCAGGAAGTATGTATCTGATAGTCATCTAAAATATTTTTAAGCCTCTTAGCATAATGATCCTGTTTTAATTTTGTGTCTATTTGAAGTTAAATATTCAGTTTCTTCTACAAAATAGATTATGACCGAAGTGTGGTCTTCCCTCACTGGGAACTTTTTCTATGAACTCTATAGATTAGTGTGGGTACTAGGATACCAGTGTTTACGCTACAAGTCTTTTCCAGACTTTGTGGGTGGAAGCTTGCAAGTGGCCCCCAATCTCAAGTTTATAACTAGTTGGAAACGATGAAGCCATGTGAAATTATTTCATCCTTATGTGGTCAAAAAACTATTGTATTTTTTTTAACCAGTAAAGCCAACAACTCACATCAGGACAAGCAAGACAGTTTAATAATGTCTTCATAGATGTGGTTTGGAGAAGTAAAACAGTAGTGATCACAACTAGCCTTTTGATTTTGAGTCAGCATCCTGAGTTCAAATGCTCCATGTGATGTTGACTTATCCTTTCCCTAGATTTTCCATTTGAGGTTCTGTCCAAGTGTAATAAATATAATGATTCTGCTTTTGCTGGGCCTGAAATTAGAAAGATTCATCTTTCTGAGTTCAAACCCAGCCTCAGACACTGTGTCATTTAACTCTGCCTCATTTTCATCATCTATAAAATGAGCTGGAGAAGAAAATGGCAAACCACCCCTGTATCTTTGCCAAGAAAATCCCAAATAGGTTTGCAAAGAGTTGGACATGACTGAAGACTGAACAACAACAGCTTTGATACTAGGTGATTATAACTTCATTGGCTTTTCAAAATCAGTCCTATTGGTTTCCTTAATTCTCACTAAAAGAATTTAATTTTGTGTATTTGTTATATTTAGCTATTTTTTTTGTGATAGCAAGAGGTAATGATTAAAATAGATAGATCCTAAATTAGACCCCTTAGTAGCTGCAAGTCACTTAACTTCTCAGTTTCCTCATCTAAAAATGGGGATGATATTTTTCTTTAAATATTTTTTATGGGGGCAGCTAGGTGGCGATAGAGAATCGGCCCTGAAGTCAGGAGGACCTGAGTTCAAATGTGGCCTCAGACCAAACCCTTGATACTTAACTAGCTGTGTGACCCTGGGCAAGTCACTTAACCCCAATTGCCTTTAAAAAATTTTTTTGAATAAATATTTTTTATGTTGGGCAATTGTGTACTGAAAAGGTTCTTTCTGTAAGCTGTTAATGGTTTTTCATTGTTTTAAGTCATACAAATGATGGTAATTCAAGTATTTGTCAAAAGAGGCATGAGAGAGGGAACAAACATATATTAAGTACCTACTGAATGCCAGGCATTTTGCTAAGTGCTTTACAAATCTGATTTGGTCCTCACAGCTCTTGAGAGGTAGGTGCTATTATCCCTGTTTTACAGTTGAGAAAATTGAAACAGACAAGGTTAAGTGATTTGCCCAGGGACACACAGCCAGTATATCTCTGAGGTCAGATTTGAACTTATGTCTTCCTGAGTCCATCTATCACTTAGCCCTTGCCTCCCTGCAAATAATGCTAATTCAGGAATCTGTTGGAAAAGGATACATTTTCTATCCAGATGAGTCACTCAGACAACTAATTGTGATTAAAGACATAAAACATTAAAAAAGTTCATTTCATTGACATGGGCACTCCCCCATACCTATACCTTAGTAGATGGTTTTCATGAGTAATTATAGCTAAATACATTCATCCTTTGGTAGCCACTTTTCTGGTGATATACTTCTCTGAAAAATCCTTTAGTCATAGAGGTTATACCAGTAGAACATGAGCTCTGAGAGGTACTTACACAAACCAAAGTATGATTGTTGACTTTTTTATGATTTAGGTATATGCTACATAGTCCTCCTGTTATATCCATTATTGATATCATTGAGCAGGGTTTTTATATGTGTGTTTTTGGCTTTTTTTCCTTCCATTTTTTTTTCCTATCCCTCTCTCCTCTCTTAGGAAAGGAAGTTTATTGGAGGTTCTGGTCAAGTTAGTGAAAAGATCATGGAACTTCTTGGAGAACGAGTAAAGCTGGAGAAGGCTGTATCCTATATTGATCAGTCGGGTCAAAATGTTGTTGTGGAAACGACAAACCATGACATATACGAGGTAATTTCATTCAGCCAAAAGGAACATATTTAATGGGTGATATATCTGATGTAGCTTTTAAATAATTGTAAGAAGCTTTCTATCTTTGCTTTTCTTTGCTTATTTAAACATCTTTACAACTCTCACTACTATTTGATTAACACTGGTTTGTACCTTTTTCATCATTTCCATTAGTCCCTGTGGTTACTCTTTCTTGTTTATGTTTTGCTTTCCCCTGGTGATCTTATTTTAGATGTTGGTACTTAACTGTTCAGTGTCATTGAAAATGTAAAATATTGTGTTTACACCTTTATCAAAAGACTGAAGTCATAGTTAAGTTGATGCCATATGTGTGTTTTAGTGCAGATATGTAATTATTGCCATCCCTCCAATCTTGACTTGCAAGATCCACTTCCGACCAGAACTTCCATCAGAGAGAATCCAGTTAATCCAGCGTCTTCCAATGGGGGCCATCATTAAAACTGTGATGTATTACAAGGAAGCCTTTTGGAAGAAGAAGAGTAGGTTGCTCTTATTCATATACAATTTATAATAAATTGAGGGACCACATTGTGCCAAAAGCCAATGTATACATTGGACATAATGTTAAAAAAAAGAAAGAAACCCAACTAATTGAAATGAAGAACCAGATTTCTTTGCACCCCTTGATTTCATGAAGTGATCCTAGTAATAGCTACAGTGCCCTACATGCATACAAGAGTTACTTAATAAATGTTTTCTGAATAAATTGAAGTGAACTGAATTATAAGATAAATTGTCCATTGTCCCAGTCCTGACGTGTCATCAGTCTTTTCAAGACCAATAAAAAAAAAGTGGCCTTGTTTTTAGCCTAGTATTTATACCTGAAATAGAGAGATTTCCTGATATAGTTTTCTTCCTTTACTTTTACCAGTAGATCCTCATGGAGAATGCACTAGTGATCTGTAACCATGAGATGATTCATGGCAAATATTAGATAGGAATATTTCTGAACAAGGAGACAAAATATTTTTCCCTCTTTAGACAGAATTTTCCCTTGAAGTCAAGTGTTTGTACTTAAGAAAGAATAAGTTGCAGGTTTAAGAATACTTATGTTCAGAGTTTGCCATGTCTTTAGCAAACTGTGTTTGTGTGTAATTATTCAGGACAATGTCCATCTCTAGTAATTTGTCATCATCTTGTTTTACTTTTCTTTCCAATAAGATTACTGTGGCTGTGTACTCATTGAAGATGATGATTCTCCAATTTCAATCACTTTAGATGACTGTAAGCCAGATGGATCTTTACCTGCCATAATGGGGTAATCAAGAATTTTAAAATGCTTTATTCTTAGAATTAGAAAACTTTGTTGGGAAGTTATATTTGTTACAAAGCATAATTAATACAAAGCTCGGTTTGCAAGTGAAAACTTAGGACTTAAGAATTACTTCATTTCAATTCAGCAAACATTTATTAAGTGCATACTACAAGCTAGGCACTGTGCTAGGCCCTGGCGACACAAAGACAAAACTGAACTATATTCAAAGTAGATTTATCCAGAGTAATTTGTTGAGGGAGAACACTAACAACTGGGGGCAGGAAATAGATCAGAAAAGGTCTTATACATTGTAGGAGGTGGCATTTGAGATGAATTTTGAGTGGAGTTCGAGATTCCTAGAAAGGCAGAGGAGGGATTGAGAGGATTTCAGGGATGAAGGCAGAAGATGGAGTGTCACGTATGAGCAAGAATAAGTACGCCGGCTTGGCTGGACGACTCTGCATAGTGCACGCAGGGGAGTGCTGTAGAGTCAGTCAGAAAAGATAGGTTAGAACTCAATTATAAAGGACATTGAATTCCAAATGGGAGTTTCTCTTTGATCCTGGAGGAAATAGGGAGCCTGTTCCAGACATGCAGCAGGCAGTTGGTAATGTGGAACTGGTTCTCAGGTGGCAGACCAAGACTGAATATGTAGATCTGGGAGTCATCTGCATAGAGATGCTAATTGAACCCACCATGGGAGCTTATGAGGTCATGAAGTGAGAAAGTATAGAAAGAAAAGAGTACACCCAGGATGCAGCCTTGGGAAACATCCACAATTAGTGAGCCTGACATGGATGTAAATCAAAGAAAGGAGATCAAGAAGGAGTCATCAGACAAGCAAGAGGAAGGACCAGGAGGTAACAGCATCACAAAAATGTGACAAGAAGAAACTATTCAGAAGTTTAGGATGATCCACACTGTCATGTGCTTCAGAGAGGTCAAGTAGGACAAATATTGAGAAAAGGCTATTTGGCTATAAAGAGACTAATCACTGTCACATGCAGAGGGCAGCATCAGTTGAGTGGCAGGGTCAAAAGCTACACTACAGAGGACTTAGAAGAGTGGGAAAGGAGGGGAAGTAAAGGCATTTAGATTGGATCTTTCGATCATTCAAGAATCGGGGTAGAGGACCTTTTCACATAAAGTAATCAATCTTAGGGATTTCTAGCTAAAAGCAAGGAAATTAGGACTCATTATTTTCCTATCTTTCCTACTTGTTATTGCACCTATATCTTCCACTGATATTGATTCTTGGGTAGTTGCCCAGTAGAGGGGGTGGGGAATATCTGTCCTTCTTCCTGCACTTGAGTGTATGTAGCACAACTCAGTGTACAGCAGCTCCAGACTAGGGACTCTAGTATGAGGAGGCAGGGAAACCGTAAGTCAAGCTGGGAAATGATAGTTCTCCTCATAGTACTATGGAGCCTCTATCATTTCCCTTGTTTCAGGCTTTCAGAGGTTCATTTTTCTGTATACTAAAAGTATTTATGTATTAGGGGCCTTCTTATGCCTATCATATAATCAGGGCCAGTTCTTCTACATCAGCCAAATGATCCTTCAGGTATCAAGGGGTTTAGTTTTCATTTGTTTGTTTTTGCCTAGATTCAACCTAGAAGGGTAGGGTCACTAGGGTCACTGCAGTTACATAGGGTAGAATTGGGTTTGGAAATTCAAAGACAAAAGCCTTGTGGGCTTTAAGAGCCTTTTCCTTAGCTGACTTCTGGTTCTGCTGTTTACTATTGTGGTTTGACCTTGGACAAGTCACTAACGACTCTAGACCTAAATTCCTCAAATCTAAAATGAAGGGGTTAGACTTGGTGACTATTTATAGAGTCCCTTCCGGTTCTGAACTGATGATCCTGCTTTGCATCATAGTGGTCTAATTCCTGAGTGTCCCAAGACTTCCACAAAATAATGAAGAGTGAAATGAGCACAACCAAGAGAACACTGTATACACTAACAGCAGTATTGTTTTAAGAACAGCTTTGAGCAAATCAGTCATTTTGGCTATTATAAATACCCAAATTAACTATAAAGGGATGTATGAAGAAAGATGCTGTCTGCATCCAGAGAAAGAACTGATAAGTAGAAGTATGTATAGAGTAATTTTATGTATACATATATACATATATACATACATATACATACATACACACATGCCTATTTGTGTCTAATGGTAGCCATCTCTAGGGCAAGGGAGTGGGGGAAGGAGGAAAGAATGGGGAAAAAAGAAATTTACATGATAATTTTATTATATATTTAAAAGGAATATCAAGTTGTACATTAAAGATTTGCAGTTTCATGTACAATCATCTTTTTTATTATACTGTGTTATAGAAATGCTTGTTTTAGCCCATAAATTAAAAATTAAATAAGTACATAAATAAATAACTTTTTTTCTCATCAGGTTTATCCTTGCCAGGAAGACTCATCAACTTGCCGCCGTTAGTAAAGAGCTAAGGTAAGAGTTAAATTTGAAAAAAAAACTATTAAAACAAGGCATTGCTTGTAATCTGTTGTTTAGATCTGTGATTTCGATATCATAAGGAACCCCCATTCAGATAACTCCCTCTAATCACACAAATCAGCAACTGTTCTATAATTTAGAGTAGTGGGAAGTTCTGCGTAACCCGCTAAGTAAGGAGGAATTAGGTGCATGTCCTTCCTCTGACAAACACTGGTTATGTGACTGAACAAGTCACGTATTAAAATGTCAGCTTCATTTTAAGTGGGCTAGTTTGGAGGGTTCCCATGGAAAGAGTAATGAGTGAATTATGGACTTACTCCTCTTGAAGGAGACTACCTTAGAAATCATCTAATGGAAACTTCTTTTTTAAAGTATAGAAACCTCTTCTACTGTAGACTGTAAGGGTGAGAGGTAGAGTAATGTAGGGGAACTTAAAATGGAACTTGGATTCTTATCTATTCCAGATATTCAGTTGTTATGGGAAAAACATCTCATTCTTAGCCTCAATTTCATCATTTCTAAAATGGCGATAGTAATACTTATACTACTTACCTCAAAGAATTGTGAGAAAAGTACTTTGTAACCACTTATGTGCTACAGAAACATGCTTTGCAATGTGTATTTTGGGGGGCAGCTAGGTGGCACAGTGGATAGAGCACCAGCCCTAGAGTCAGGAGGACCTGGATTCATATCTGGCCTCAGACATTACTAGCTGTGTGACCTTGGGCAAGTCACTTAACTCCAGTTGCCTAATATAGATAGATAGATAGAGAGATAGAGAGATAGAGAGATAGATAGATAGATAGATAGATAGATAGATAGATAGATAGATATAGATAGATAGATAGATAGATAATGTGTATTTTTGTAAGCAAGTACACCCATAGGCATTCAAACCTTTATGGATATCTAGTCATAAATATTACTGATTGTTGTTGTCATCATTGTTCATTCATTTCAATTGTGTCCTGTTCCCCTTGACCTATTTGGGGTTTTCTTGGCAAAGATACTGGAATGACTTGCCATTTTCTTCTCCAGTTCATTTTACAAAGGAGGAAACCAAGTAAAACAGGGTTAAAGGACTTGCCCAGGGTCACACAGCTAGCAAGTGTCTGAGGCCAGATTTGAACTCAGGAAGATGAGTCTTCCTGACTCCAGGTCCAGCTTTTAATCCAGTTTGCCAACTAGCTGTTCATTTACAACTGATTATCATATAGCAGTTATAACCTTTATATCTAAAGCCATACATTAACTTTGAAAGCATAGATAAGATTTGTCCAAGTGAGGAAAAAGTTGATTTCGAAAGTTTCAAAATGATAATAGCATAATTTTGAAGAGAACTGATAGAAATGAAAGTGTCTAGTTTAACTTTGATTTGAAATTATCATGATAAACACAGTTCTACAAGAGGCTTTGGAAAATACTTGCAACAGGTAAAGGCTTTTAGAAAGTTGCTTTAATAAGGTTGAAAAACAATGAAAAGCTGTAGTAGTTCCCTTTTAGGCACAGAGTTGTTTTTTACTTAGCTTAAGTCAGAGTTCTGATGGTGTAAATGGCTCTAATATAAATGATTCTCTAAACTTAAGCAGTTTCTAGAAGATTAACACATTGCAAATGATTTTTGCAAATGTAAGCCAAACTAATTAATTCATTAAATCAAATATAATAAATAATTAATTAAATCCACAGATACTTTCAATTAGAAAGTTAGTTCTTTTGTAACAAAAATGTCTTAAATAATTTAGGACAGAACATTCTCAGTGTTTTACCTTATTAAGGTAAAAACAACAGACTTTAAAACTTAAAGCTGCAAATAACTTTTGAAAAAGAAATCAATGTACCTACAGTTTCTTGAGGCACATGTCTGACCATGTCACTTCCCTACTCAAAATCTCCAGTAGCTCCCTATTAGGATATAAATGCCTCTGTTTCCCAACCTGGCCCCAGCCTACCATTCTGATCTTATTGTACATTACTTTCTTTATATACACTTCAATTTAGTAAATTTGGCCTTCTTACAGTTCAGTGCAAATGGGTCTCCATTTCCAAACTCTCTGTCTTGGCATTGACTTTCCTCTGTACCTGGGATATAATCCTTCCTCACTGCCACCTTAGAAAATCTTTGTTTCCTTCAGTGCTGCAGCTTTAACCTGAGGAGTGATATTGTCTGGCAGCTGAGTAGAGCAGGGGTGATGAACCTACGGCCTGAAGACCACATGTGGCCTTTTCTAGGTCCTTAAGTATGGCGTTCTGACTGAATCCAAATTTTACAGAATGAATCAGTCAGAAGGCCACGCTTAAGGACCTAGAAGGCCACATGTAGCCTTAAGGCTTCAGGTTCCCCAGCCCTGGTATAGAGAATATATTGGAGAGGGGAGAGACTAGAAGCATGATGGGGAAGATTGAGAACTCTGTAATCTCAATTTTCTTCAGATTCATGTGGTGAACCTTCATAGCTGCCACTTTTAAGAAGTATCTCTAAATTTAGTGATCAAAAAAGCATTGCTTTTTTTTAGTGGAGAGAACAGGGTCCCTTTGGAAAAGAGACTGGTGTAACCCCAGTGAGGGATCAGGGCCGGCTTCCCAGAGGAAGTGGTAGCTGAGCTAAGGATGGCAAGGATTCTCAGTGGCAGAGATGAAGAAAGGCACACTGTAGTTATGGGGGAATAGACTGTGCACACAGCTAGGAAATGGAATGTTACATTCAGGAAACATCTGCTATTCTTTTTCTCTCTCCCTTAGAATTAAATAAATGTGTACTTTACACATGGATGGTGGTAGACATATGGTTAAGTTTTCACAATATGCCTGTACTTTTCAAATGTTCATAAGATGCCTAGGATTCTAGAATATAACCCTTAAAACTTTAAATAAACTTCACTGACTAAAGAAGGTTTAGTTGCACAGGGGCATCTAGTCAGTGTCTAAAATATTTTGTATTATTCTTGTGGGCATATCTACCCTGCAAACAAACTTCTTTTCCTGTCTTGACCTTAAACCTAGGCATCAGTCAATAAATAAATATTTATTAATGTGCCAAGCATAATAGTTTACTTGTGTATTCATATTAAAATTATTAGCATATGACCTCCATGAAGGTAGAGACTTATATTATTAATTTCATCTGCCCTAGTACCTTACTTATTGGTCTTCAAATTATAATCCCATAATAAATTTTTGTCCAGTTGAATTGGGCAAATCATTTAATCTCTATGTGGTTTATATTTCTCATTTTTTAAAAAAAGGAAAAATGATGGGATTGTTCTAGAGAGTTTCCTTAAGTCCTTTCTTGCTTGAATGCCCTGTGATTCTGACTTTTTCTGAGCACTGAGAACGTTTTATACTCAGAACATTTTTATGATTTATGTTTGAGGTAATTATTTTTAGAGCTTCCTTCTCTTCATTATGAGAAGAGAGAAGGAGCAGAATTGGTACTGTAGTTTCATGATTTTTGACTTGTGAAATTAACCATTTAACAGCTAGGTCCCTGAAGGAACAAATTTTGACTCTCCTGTGATCTCAAATCCCTGCCTAAGGTTGTATGCCATTTCTTAAGGATTCTTTCTCTCTCTGTCTCTCTCTCCCCCTCATTCCTTAAATCTTCCATAATAAACTGTTGGAGCTACCTTTTGTGTCCCATAATTCTAAATCCTGCTCCTAGATGAACATTCTTTGGAATAGAAGCAGCAACACATGAATTGAGTATTGGGTAAATTGACCCACGGATGATATGTCCTTTAATAAGTTACTATAACTTGGGGATATTTGAAAGTGGTGTATATCACCATTCTTTGAAGTTGATGTCTTGAAGTGTACTCATCTTCTTCCCCAAAACATCCCCTTGTCAGAAGACAAATATTTTCTGTTTTAGTCCCCATACAAGAGAAATATCTCACTAGGTTATTTTAGGTACTTTGTGGCCAAGCCAGAGTTTGGGGAATGGGGGCAACTCTAGTTTCATTGGAGATGATATACTGTTGTAACATCCCCATAGCCCCAGACAGACAAAACCAGTGGAACTCATAGAACCCATTCCTTTTTGGTACATACAAACTTATGCCCTGGATGTCCCACCATGCAAATTGAACCCCAGGGGAGCAACAAAAATTCACAATAGATGTAGGACCCAGGAATCCAAGATAATCCAAGGAGCTGCAACAGCATACTGATCCAGAGAAAGAGAGCAACTTATTCTTTATTATTGAGGTAATTAAAAGATTCAGTACTTGGCATTCAATACCCCAAGCTGTAGCTAAACTGTGGGTATGGAATTTAGATACTAATCTGTAGTATTTATTCAAACAAAGACTGAAGAGATATCATCAAAGTCTGCAAAATCCCTTAAGAATGTATGTGGTCTTCTTCACATAACATTAAGGTTCTCAAAGTAAGTGATAGTCCTCAAAATCTTAACGTGGTATTTATAAGACAAATAATAAGCTATTCTTTGTTATTTAGCATCTATTAAGATTATGGAAACTGGGACCCCTAGAGGTAGTCTAGGTTGAAAATATAAATAGGCTTAAAAATAATTAAATTAATTTATGATAGATCCATAATGGCTTCTAAAGGGAATCTAGAGAAAATGGAGGTATGATCTTTAACATCTTGAAATTGTATCATAGCAATTGGCTATGACCCTGAACAAACTTTTTCTTGGTATGTACCTCACTGTCTGAAACAGAATCCTAGACAATGGGTTAGAGCATTGGTATGCCTGAGTCTGGTATTTCTTCTGCATTCTTTCAAATACTAATTAAGCCTTATCTATTTATTATTTCAGACAGAGTATAGGATTTTGGGAGATAATCTTATTATAATATATAGCACCTCAAAAACTTGTAGGAATTATAACTCCTTGTCCAGAAAAGTGACTTAGAAATCAGTGCCTGAACTTTTCTCCTGGTTCTCTCTACTGTCTAAATTAAGTCATGCTTTGCAGGTTGTTATTGAAGTAGGCATTACAGAAAGAAGATGCTGAAGGCCTAGGCAGCATCAAATTGAATATAAAAATTGGCATTATCATGAAGTAGTTTGAATTGCAGTAATTTATTTGTAATTAAATTAGCTATCCACTAAATGCAGATTTGGATTCTTGAGTATTTAGAGAACACAAATCGAAATTACTGATTTTGTTCTGTGACAAGTTATTGGAGCTTAACGTTTTTCTTTTTGTTCTTACTATTTTGTAGAAAGAGGAAAATCTGTGAAATTTACGCAAAAGCGTTGCGCTCACAAGAAGCTTTGCAAGTAAGCAGTTATCTTTAAATTATGGATATGTTCTTCTGATTGATTTAGATGGTAAAGGTGCAATGCAAATGATAACTTCCCAGTAGTTTTATGAGAAATATATTATAAGGGTCTGTTTAGTTTTGAAGATTTCACTTTAGAAATTAAAGGAAGTTAAAAAACACTAAAGTTCTCAAGTGCAAATACTATCTGATTCATAAGGTCACAAGATTCTTTTTTAAATAAAGGTTTAATTGGATAGCTGACCATTAATTCCATTAAAGTTCAGCATCTTCATTTATTATCTCAAAAGGCAGATCAGATTAGTGGTTCCAAGAGGAGAAAGTTGCTTTTTCCCTTAGTCCTTAGTTTTGTACTATTTTTCATACGCATTTTATTCTCTCTCCCTCCCAATATCCTTAACCATTTTTTTTAAAGAAAGAAAATTCTCAACAAATATATGTAGTCTAGTAAAACAAGTTTCTCTGTTGACCATGCCCAAAAATGTATGACTCTTTCTGGATTTTGATTCCATCACTTCTGAAAGAAGGTTGATAGCATTTTTTAATTCACAGTCCTCTCTTCCTGTAATTTGTAATTGATCAAAGTTCCAAAGACTTTCAGAGTTGTTTTCCAAGAGCAGAATGGTAGACAAGATGACATCTGTACTTGTCACTAGCATCCAGTGATCAACAATCAGGATCATGAGCTGCATCTTTTGTCTTGAAAGGTGATCACAACGAGAACTTTAAGAAAATAAGCTAAAACTAAGGACAGCTAGGTGACACAGTGGATAGAGGGCTTGGCTTGGAGTCAGGAAGACTCATCTTCCTGAGTTCAAATCTAGCTTCAGACAGTTAGTAGCTGTCTGACCCTGAGTGAGTCACTTAACCCTGCTGGCCTCAGTGTTCTCATCTGTAAAATCAGCTGGAGAAGGAACTAGGAAACCAAGAAAACCCTACATGGGGTTACAAAGCATTGGACACAACTGAAAAAAGGACTGAGCAACAACAGCAGTTACCACCAGCAAGTGTGAAGCATTGTTGTGCTATGCAAACTTTTGATCTTGTCCTTACAGGTTAATTTCTCTTTAAGGAGTTAATAATTAGCTTCTATTTCCAATGGTCTCTGTCCAACAAGAACATGAATCTAGAGAAAAGAATTCTTTTTTTGTTTGTTTTTGCTTAGGCAATAAGGGTTAAGTGACTTGCCCAGGGTCACACAGCTAGTTAAGTGTCAAGTGTTTGAGCTCAGATTTGAACTCAGGTCCTCCTGACTCTAATGCTGGAGCTCTGTCCGCTGCACCACCTAGCTGCCCCAACAATTATTTCTTAAGCTAAAAAGAAACCTTTACTTTGGGGACATATCTTCCAGCATTCCAAGGACACACACATATTTCAGTAAGTGCTGGAGAAGCTAGAGGCGACATCTCTTATCTTCTTCAGCAAGCATTTTAACCATAACTGCCTTTATTCAGTTAGAATGATCCCCAGCAGGTCCTCAAGCTTAGTAAGGCTTTTCTGAAGTCAGCCTTTCTCAGATTTCTCAGATTATCTCACATTCCTTTCTTCCCACCGTTATGCTTACCATTAATAATAACTCACATTTATAAAGCATTCTGAGATTTGCAAAGCAATTTTCCCACAAAAATACTCCTAATATCAGCATCATTCTACAGATAGAGAAGTGCAGCTTGCACAAGTAAAGCCCCTCTCTCAAAGTTACACAGTCTCAGAGTTGGAAGAGATTTTAGTGGCCATGTAATCCAATCTGTATTTAATGGACTTTTCTGTTTTCATCCTTTTCATCCTGTAGAGGCAGTTAGATAGTTGCAGTGGTTAGAACCCTGGGCCTAACTAAATTCATATCCAACCTCAGACTCTTACTAATCTGTATGACCCTGAGCAAGTTACTTAACCTCTGTTTGCCTCAGTTTCCTCAGCTGTAAAATGGGATAATAATAACTTTGCAGGGTTGTGAGGATCAAATGCCTGTAAAATCCACTTAGCACAGTGTTGGGCACATAGTTGGCACCATATAAATGTTTAATCCCTTCTTTTAACTTCTCTGCAGTCTTTAACACCATCAGTCACCCTCTTCTCCTTGATATTTTTCTTCTTTTTAGGTTTTTGAGACACAGCTCTCTCCTGATTCTCCTCTTACCTATCAGACCATTCCTTCAGGTCCAGTTTCAAAGTCTTCTTTACTAGATCTTCATCCGGGTCAATCCTGCTAATCATTGACCTTTCCTCAAGGTTCTGTCCTGGGCCCTCCTCTCTTCTCCCTCTATACTGTTTCATTGGGTGCTCTCATAAGCTCCCGTGGATTCAGTCCACGCACATGGTCCTCAGGTCTGTTTATCTGGCCCTAGTCTTGCTCCTGACCTCCAGTTTCACATTTCCAACTGCTTGCAGATACGAACTGCATTTCCTGTAAATATCTTAAACTCATTATGTTAAACTGAAATCTGTCTTTCTTCATTATTTCTTCCGTCAAACCTTCCCCTCTTCCTAGCTTTCCTGTTAGTGGAAAGGGCACCATCATTTTCCCAGTTACCCAGACTCACAATCCAGGTGGTATTTTCAACTCTTCACACTCTTTCACCCCTGTGTCTAGTCTGTTGTCAAATCCTCTTGATTCTTCCTTTGTAACTCTCATACATGCCCTCCATTGTCCTGTGACACTGCCATCCCCCAGTGCAGCCCCTTGTCACCTCCTCCCTGGACTGTGGCCATAAGCTTCTGGCTGGTCTCCCTGCCTGTAGTCTCTCCCTACTCCAGTCCATCCTCCCCTCAGCTGTTAAATTGGGCCTGACCATGTCACCCCCATATTCAGTAAACTCCAGTGGCTCCTTCTCCTTCCAGGATCAAATATACAATTTTTGTTAGGATTTTAAAGTTCTTGATAACCTTGTCTCTTCCTGCATTTTTAGTCTTCTTAACATCTTGCTCCACTTTACAGAATCCAATCCAGTGACTCTGGCCTCCATACTGTCCTCCCACAGGACATTTCGTCTCCTAACTCTGCATTTTTACTGCTGGTCTCCTATGTCTGGAATTTTCCCACCTACTCACTCTTCTGGCTTCCCTCAAGTCTCAACTAAAATCCTACCTTCTGCAAGAAACCCTGGTGCCCCTTGATGCCGATAATGCCTTCCTTCCAAGATCACCTACAGATTATGTCACATATGCATCTAGATTGTCTGTAGTTATTTGCAAGTCGATCTACCACATTTGAAGTGAGCTGCTTGAGGGCAGAATTGCTTTTGCCTTTCTTTATAATCACTTCTTGGCACAGTACCTGGCCCATAAGTGCTTAATTAATGCTGCTTGACTTGATTTGCTTAGATTATTATGTGCATTTAAATGGACAATCCATAGAGCTTGTCCATCAACATGTGTATCTGGAACAGATCATAAGAATGGATTATGAATTAGGTGTAAAATGGAAAAGGAAGAGGGAAGCAGGCTAGATTGCTTTCAAGATATTGTGGAGTACCTTTAATGACCTCGAATGTCAGCCAGAAACACAGGTTTGTCTTTTTCATACCTGTCTTCTACTAGTGTTGTTATTTGGTTTCAAAATGTGGGGCATAATTTTTGAAAAATTTAATATTAGTATCATACAGAGGGCAATGAGAATAGCATGAGAGATTTTGTCATATGCTTTGCTGAAATTTAGATAATCTCTATCTATAGAATTCTCTAATAATCCTCTATCACAAAAAATGAGGTTAATCTGTCATGACCTGTTCTTTTTAAAAAAATAATTTTTTCCCAATTGCATCTAAAAACATTTTTACATTCATTTTTTTAAAATTTGAGTTCTAAATTCTCTTCCTTCTGTCACCCCTCCCTGAGATGTCAGGCAGTTTGATATAGGTTATACATATGCACTCATGCAAAACGTATTTCCATCTTAGTTATGTTGTAAAAGAAAACACGCACCAAAGGAAAAAACCTGTGAAAAATAGTATGCATTAGTCTGCATTCAGACTCCATCAGTTTCTTTTCTGAAGTTGGATAGCATTTTTTATCATGAGTCCCTTAGAATTGCATGACCTGGTCTTGATGAAGCCTTTTATCATTAACTTTATTTTGCAGATATTCACTCACCATCACTTTAGAATTTTGCCAGCAATCAAAGTCAAACTCATTGCCATATAGGTTGAAGAGTTTACTTATTTCTCTTTTTTGAAGAATAGGAAAACATTTATCCTTCCCCAGTTCTTCATCACCACTTTTGTTCTGCATAATATTGCCAAGATCATTGACCATGATCCAGCACTTGTGTCTCCCAGTTCACTGCAGAATATAAGTCATCCAGACCTCCTTATTATCTCCTTATTTATCTTGGTTTTCAGTTTTTATTAGCAAGTTTTTATCTTTTATGTTTTAAAGGTCATTATCCTTAGCAGAGAAAACAAAACAAAAATGAATCAGCTATGTTGTTTCTCCATTGTCAGTTATCATCATTGCATTCATCTCAAGCCATTGCCCTTACCCCTTCTTTTTTCTAATATAGCTTTCTTAAAATAAATTTTTGTTGTTAGTTCTTTCTGAGCTATATTTCTCCTGACTCTCTTCTTTGGGGTATTCTGCACTATTTGATGTAACTGTGTGACAGAATGGATAAAGCAGTTGGTGTGTTCATCATGCCTGTTTGAATCCTACCTCATGCACTTACTAGGTGCTGACTCTGAGCAGGTAATTAACACCCCCTCAGTCTCTGTTCCCTTATCTGTAAAATTGAGATGATGACGGTGCCACCTTTCTCAGAGTTGTGAAGATCAAACAAGATAATATGTGTCAACTTTGCTAGCCCAGATTAAATGGTTAGCTATTTTGCTTCCGGCCCATGCTTCTATTTTCTGTGGGTCTTTTAAAAATTGGTTGATTTATTCCCTGAACGTTCACATAGTTCTCTTTAAACGTCTTCCCTTTTTAGATATTCTTATACTGATTCTTCTTTTGTCTTTGGAATTTAATTCTTCAGAGCTCCCCAGCCCTCTTAACATGATTTCTCCTTTGGAATTTTAGGTTACAAAATCTTACCTACCACTCTTCCTTTAAATCCTTATGAAATCTGCTCTCTATCAATCTAAAAGATATATCCGATTATCCCCTACTTTCTTCTATAATGAATTTAAATATGGGATGGTCACTTCTCTCCAAGAATCCCTTCATGACTATCCCAGCAATCAGTTCCTCTTTTAAATAGTGAGAAGCAGATCCAGAATAACAACTTCCTTTATTGTTTTCTCTTACTTTTGAAAGGTGAAATTGTCATTGAGGCAAGCCAAAAAATCTTTAGCTTTTCTGCTTTTGGCAGAGAGATGCCCAGATGTTAAAAGCCCCTCTCATTACTATAGTCATATTTCTCTGTTGTCAGTACTTTGATTTGTTTCTGGAACTCCTAAGATGTTCAGTCCTACTCCCTAGATGACACTGTCAAGTCTGTTGACTCAAATGTTCCACCCCCAAAAAAAGTTTCCTTTCTCTGATTTCCTCACATCAGGAAATCTTCTTAATCCTATCCTCTAATTCCCTTGCCCCCCTCCCACATACACAAGCTTTTACAAAACTGTGTTATTCCTTTGGAATAAAGTATGTCCTTCCAGACAGTATTCTAGTCATTCCTAATACATACAGAGCCTCAGAAATGCCTATAAAATTAAATTGATTGGCATGCATATATAAACCCAGATCTTCTGGCACTGAGTCCATAGCTCTATTAATACCATCCTTCTGTCCATTAAAGCCACAGTATGGATAAAACTTGAATATTTCACCATTCTATCACTTGGCATAAAGTAGGTCCAGATCCTTATCATTGGATGCTACAGCGTATTGTGATGGGGTTTGTTATTCTCACTATTGGGAACAGATTCTTTGTTTTCCTTCATTTCAGCTTTGTTTTCTCTTTGTATAATTTCCTTTGAATCTTGTAGCCAGTGCATTATGAGGAGAAGAACTGGTGTGAAGATCAGTACTCTGGAGGCTGCTACACGGCCTACTTCCCACCAGGGACCATGACTCAGTATGGAAGGTACAAGTAAACTACTTTTCTTTTAGAAAAGCGATAGGGTTAAGGGCTGAGAAGATGAATAAAAGACAAATGAAAGTGGAAAAGTAATTAAAGAACTTACAGTTTTTAGTGAATCAATCTGTAGGAGCCTGGGTATCAATTTCTGTCTGGTTTTGTAAAAACAGTCACAGTACAGTCAAATAATAGTTTGCTTGGTTGTATTGGGAAGTACGTAACTAACTGAAGAGAGGCCATGGTATCTGAAAATGAAACAAGATTTTTTTCATAAAAAATAAAATCAAATGCAATGAAATAGTTATTATTAACAGACCTTAGACAACAACAGTGTAACTCGAGATGACAAAATATTTTATCTTCAGGGAGGGCAGCCAGCCAGCAAAAGAACTAGACTAGATACAACTGAAGCCAAGGAATACTAGATTGGAAAGTAGGAAAGCAGAGAACTGTAGGAAAAGAGAAGAAAGCAGTTAGATTTCTACTTTGTCCATCCTTCTTTCTTATTCTCTTTGCCAAGAAACCTTTTCATATGTAAAATATTTCCCCTGCCTTGAGTGACCATGAGGTGGTCTTTAACTTGACACAACACCAGCAGGCATTTCCTTTGCCGGAACTGTCACCTTGTCTTACCTCTCCCACCTCCGGGGTTCTTATACTGTCCCCAACATCCTTTATTGCCCTTCCCCTCCTCACCCCAAACTTTGTGGGCAATAAGGCATTTTATAGAGCTTATCTTAAAAGTGGGGAAAACCCAGCATGATTGTTATCAGCTGTTCATTATTGACACAAAATATCTGTGATTAACCTAAGGCGTGAGAGAGTTAACAGGAAATTTATTTCACTAAAATAATGATTCTTGTTGAAAATAAATACATTCCTTTTTAAGATTCCTATAATGCATTTCTGACAATGCATGGAGTGAGGTTTCTCTCCAACTGCCTAATAATTTGATTTTTGCCTGACTTGGTGCTTTCATCTCTAGCTGAAAACCAGGGAAGTTGTTTGGTTTGTTTTTTAAATAATTGAGCGTGTCCCCCTATCCGTATTGTGAATGCATTATTTGGCTCTTGTCATCTTCCCAGATAACTGCTTTTGACTTCTCATATTCACTTTGAAGGGTTATCCGCCAGCCAGTTGACAAGATTTATTTTGCTGGGACAGAGACAGCAACCTATTGGAGTGGGTACATGGAAGGAGCAGTGGAAGCTGGAGAAAGAGCAGCTAGAGAGGTATGTACAGGAGAAAGTGGAATAATACACTATAAATAATTCTAATGTTAGTTTATATTTCTATAGAACTTGTTCATTTATAAGATTATTTCCTTACAACAGTCTGTTGCAGCAGGTTGCATAAATATTATCTTTATTTTCCAAATGAGGAAACTGAGGCACAGAGAGTTTGTCACTAGCCCAAAGTTGCAGAAATGGTTAAATCAAAGAAACAGGATTCAGACTCGGGTCCTCATTTCTACTTTTCACCATACCATTTTACATATGTGTTTTATGAGTAAGGAAAGAACATGGGTGGAATGAATTATCTTTGGAAAGAAAGAAGAACCTCTCTGTTCAAGAGCCCAGAGGGAAAGGGAAAATGGGTTACAGAACAGAGAAGTTTTAGTTGTAAAGGAAGTAATTGAGAGAGGAAGCTTTATGTTCCATAGCCTCAATCCTTCCAATAAAGTAGCAAATACAATTTACCTGCTTAAAGAAACAAAGTGGATTTAAAATGTAGATATTGATTTGAGAAAGATGTAAAATTTTTATAACATGTGCTATAGAAAATTTGAGAGTACCAAAGAGGTCTATCATACGCATACACGCACACACATATTAAGAACTGATGATATATAATCTTTTTGTTCTCAGAATATTTTTAAATGCATAAAATAAATTTATAGAATTTAAAAAGAAACAAGTAATATCAAAATTGTTATCAACTTTTTTTAAAAAAAAAAGTTCATACATAAGAACTCTGCTATATATAAAACATAAAATCAGAATCATCCTAGATGTCCAGACTTAGAAGAATGGCTAAACAAAGTAGACTGTATTAATATATGGTTACAGTGCAATATCAGTATGTATGATGGTATATTAATATGATGTTGCTTTGTTTACTATAGTTATTTGTCTAATTTATATTAATTAGCATGACATAGCTACTACTTCATATGTGGTGTGTAGAGACAACCCTGAGTTTTTGAGGGCTATATGCTGGGGAAACATACTCCGAAAAGTCCTTACAAACTAGAAATCAAAGGTTCAATTTAATTAAAAGAGGTTCATCACCAGAAGATTGGTCTTCACGGCAGTCAATTTTTTTTTGTTTTTTTCCATTTACATGTAAAAATAATTTTTATTGTTTAAAAAATTTTTGATTTCCACATTCTGTCTTTACCTTTCTCCCCTTCCCTATGATTGTGATGGAATATTACACCTTCTTCAGCCATTCTCCAGTTGATGGGCATCTCATCAATTTTCAATTCTTTGACACCAAATAAAGTCTATACACACACACACACACAGACACACACACACATATGCTTTTTACCTTTTCACTTTTCACCTTTTTTTTTAATTCTCTTTGGGATACAGACCTATTCATGATATTGTTGGGTCAAAGAGTATGCACAGTTTTATAGTCCTCTGGGCATAATCACAGTTCACAACTCCACTAACAGTGCATTAATGTTCCAGTTTTCTCACATAGGAATGTAAACATTTTAATCTTATTGAACACCCTCATGATTTATCTTTCCTTTTTACTTTTTTATACTTTTCTTGACCCATATTTGAATATCAGATTTTCTACTTAGCTCTAATCTTTTTATCGGGAATACTCAAAAGTCTTTTATTTTGTTAAATGTTCACTTTTTCCCCTGAAGGATTATATTTAGTTATGCTGGGTAGGTAGGTGATTCTTGGTGGTAATCCTCTGCCCTCTGGAATATCATGTTCTAAGCAATCTGATCTTTTAATGTAGAAGCTGCTAAATCTTGTGTTGCCTGACTGTGGCCGTGATTAAAAAAAAAAAAGTTGTTTCTTTTTGGCTATTTGCAGTATTTTCTCCTCCTGGGAGATTAGGAATTTGGCCATAATGTTCCTGGAAATTTTCATTTTGGATCTGGTGGATTCTTTCACTTTCTATTTAATTTCTAGTGCTAGGATATAGGGACAATTTTCCTCATTAATTTCTTGAAATATGATTTCTAGCCTCTTTTTTTTTAATCATAGCTTTCAGGTAGTCCATTCATTTTAAAATTATCTCTCCTTGAACTCTTTTCCAGTTCAGTTTTTCCAGTGAGATATTTCACATTTTCTTCTATTATTTCTCATTCTTTTGATTTTGTTTTGTTGCCTCTTTATGTCTCATGGAGTTATTAACTTCCACATGGCTCATCTTTGTAACACTAGCCCCTAGAAAAGCATCTTACACATAGTAGGCACTTATATTGAATAAATTCAGTAATACTTAATAGTATTTCTTTTCAGGTGTTGAATGCCTTGGGGAAGGTGGCAAAAAAAGAAATTTGGGTACCAGAACCAGAGTCAAAGGTAAATTTGTTTGTTTCCTTCTCTCTCTCTCTCTCTCTCTCTCTCTCTCTCTCTCTCTCTCTCTCTCTCTCTCTCTCTCTCTCTCTCTCTCTCTTCCTTCCTTCCATTTTTTCTCATACCTTTAGCCATACTTAATTTCCCTGTGATCCTCTGGATTAATTATGTGTCTACTGTGAAATATTTTAGTGCCTGCTCTTTCTTGGAAATACAAGCCCAGCTTAACCTCTTCTTGAGACAGCCTGACAGATGTACTTTTGTGTTCCTTTATCCAGGAAGTTCCGGCCCTGGCAATCACCACCACCTTCTGGGAGAGGAACTTACCATCGGTTTCAGGCCTGCTGATGGCTCTCGGAGTGTCCTCTTCCATAATTGCCCTCTGTATGATTATTTACAAATGCAAGAGCTTGGCACGATAGATTCTGAAATTTCATTTTCATGCTTTCTGCTTCTTCCTTCCCCAGTATCATCAAAAGGAAAAACCTGGAAAAATTAAATGTGGTAACATTGGACCCTATTTTTGTGCACTGGATTTTACAAGCCAATTTTTTGCCCTGCCAGTGTTAAAGTCATCCCCCCAAAAAATCGCACTCAATCAATTTCAGTAGGAGCAGGGTCTGTCCCATCACTTGTATGTACCGATTAACTTGTATTCATTGATAGAATAAAACCATAGTGGCAGATTTTGAATTTCAGGAAGTTAAAAGGCTCAAGGGAAAGCTTTGAAAGATCCGATGCTCATAAGAAACAATCACTTACTTCTGTCTCCTGATTTTCTTCTTTAAAAAACAAGATTACCTTATGATTTCATTAATAAATTTCTTTTTAACTTTCTCTCTGCAGTAGCTCCATAAGTTAAGGATCATCACAGCAGGGAGGCTGGCCTGAGGGCCAGGTAGCAGTGCAGACTAAACCACTCTTTCCTTCTTTGGGAATGGGGGTGTTTCTAGTTCACAGTGCATCCTGCAGTGAGCAGGCCTCCTTTCTTAATCATTTAAAAAAATTTTTTTCTTAATCATTTTAATGTGGTGTACTAGAAATAAAAACGTTGAATTAAAGTTTGTGTACATCTCATATACATCTGTTGTGGGGAATGCCATTCTGTTTTCAGTTTCCACAAATTGTCTTATTATCTGGTCTTCTCTGTTGCCGTGTGTGTGTGTGTGTGTGTGTGTGTGTGTGTGTGTGTGTGTGTGTGTGTGCGCGCGCGTGCCTTTGCTGCTAGATGTGTGTGTGTGCGCGTGCCTTTGCTGCTAGATGTGTGTGTGTGTTTGTGTGTGTCTGTTTTCCTTCGCTACTAGAGATGTACTCCAAACCTGAGAAGAAATGTATTTACTGAGGTATACAGTTTAAAGTGTTTAAGTTATACTGAGGTATACTGTTTAAAGTTGGTTAGGTATACAGTTAAAGTTGGAAGACTCTTCTAAGTAAACTATAATTAGTGTATTCTTACAAATAAAACCAGTATGCTCCCCCCCCCCCAAGTACTGCATGAAATTTGAGAGAATCAGCTTAATCATTGTCATTAAAACCTGAAATGTGGGTTTGGAGCTAGAATTGAAACTGGGGGGGCCATCAGGAACTTCTTTCTTTTTTCCAGTTGCTGCCATTTTTCACTTAGACCAGAGGTTAAACTTTAATGCTACTTCTGTTTTCTTAGCAACCACTTTTTTCTACATTATGATTAGATGGTTATCAAACCAAATATTTTGATGAAATAATGTTGCTAAAGATTCAAATTGTACTCAAATACGGTAACATTTTTAGATTTCAGATTACTATATATTTTCAAAAATAATTCTGGATATCAAAATGTAACCTTATAAATCACCCATCAAAAGAAAATAGGAATCAGTGAAAATTATGTGACCTTTTAAATTCATTTTACTTTAAAGACAGGAAATCAAATGGATTATAAATATCCTTTATTCTGAAATTCCAGTAGTACACATTTCTTCCTCATGATGCCATTTTGCTGTCACATTTTTGAAAATTTTCTTAAATCCAAGGCAGCATTTCTAAACAAACATAAGGGATGTCTTGTTAATAGTAATGTGAGGGGAGGGGGGAGAAGAAGCCATCCAGATAATAATCATAGAAAGTCATTTAGAAGATCTAGCAATGTCAGTCATGGCAATGTAGTATCTACGTATAATAATTTGTCCAACGTAAATCCAGGAACCAGGATGTTTCACTTAAGTAAATTTTCCAGATAACTGAAGCTTAACTCTTCAGGTGCCAAAACTTTAAACAATTTAACTTTTATTGAGCTCTCAAGTGAATAATGAAACACTTTCGTATTCTTATTAAACAAAAATTTAGCTTTTTTTTTATTTCTCAGGGTTCCTATTATAAGCGTTCATTGTACACCTGCTCAGTGCCCTTAGAAGCCGCATGTCCCATCCAGTGACTGGTACATTAGGTGATTTCTTCAGCCTTTCCTGGATCCTTCTTCACTATTATTGTCATTTGTCAGGGCCAGCTTTGCCCCGCTTTCTCAGTCTACTGCCTCTTGTAAACTGAGAAGAACTGTTGGTTGCCAAAGGAAACTAGATAGATTTGATTTATTAATTCCCCACCTTCTTAAAGAGCACTGCTGTAAGGTAGCAGGAAGCCTGGAAGACTCTTCTAAGTAAAAAGCAGACTTTGGTATAGTTGTGTATAACTGGCAGCTCTGAACGCTTGGCTTGCTGCTTTCAGGTTTTCTGCTCTATTCCCTGGGTAGATGGGATTGCTGTTAATCTAGTCAATCACATCACTCCTAGCTCTTCAGTGGAGAACCACTGATTTACATGATGTGAGGGTCAGATTTAATAATAGCCTAGGGGTGTTATTACGACTGACTCCCAAGTTTTATACGCTCCATCAGGAGGCAACTGTGGTATGACAGGGTGGAGATAGCCTTGACCAAGATTCAGAAGACTGATCAGCCCTATGACTTTGGAAAAGTCACTTCACTCAGTTTCCTCCTCTGAAAAAACAAGAGGAACCTTATTCCCTTTTGTTCCTAGGCAATCCATTCTAGTCAGTGCAGTTGTCTTAAACCACAGCTTAAATTAGTCACAAAATAAGTGCTAATCCAGACATTTTCATGGAATCAGCTACAGGCAAGGACTTACAGATCATGTTACCTAGCTGAATAGAGATTGTAATAACCTTTCCTGGACCAAACGAATGAAGTCACTTTGAAAAATATGTTAGTGTGTTGGCTTATTAGGCCATCTACTTCACAATTTCAGAGATTGAAGTAGAACTATGGTAAGATCTCTAGAAATGGATAACAGTTAACTCTTGGTGGTTATTAACTGTGTTAATAGAAAATGTTAACGTACTGTGTTGTGGAAAAACTTTTAAATGAAGGATTGGGGAATGTGTTCAGTTTATCAGTTTAGTGTCTGATGTTTCATGTCTCAAGTTTGCCTCAAAGTTGCGTATGTGGAAGTATGTGTGTGTCCTTTGGCTATAAAGTAAGATTTTGCCTTTACTGTCTTGTTTGTTAATAAAGTAGAATGAATATCAACTTCTGAGTTAATCTTGCTTCCTCTCTTGGAACATGAATTTGGATTTATGGACAGAGCTCTGTAAGCCATTGTGTAGCATGAGGCCAACAATGAAGCATAAGCCACAAATATATGACTGGAATTAGCATTAAACCCCAGAGCTACTTGGTTTGAACTCCTTATTTGGATTCATAAAATCTGATTGGAAAAATTGATATAGTGAGAGAGCAAAGCCTACTACATTTCTCCCCTTATTCCTCTAGGGATACTTCTCAGGGATTGGATTGTCTGTCTCTAATGCCAATGATGGGAATGGGTCTGAACCCCTAAAAGGAAAAGATCATGTCTTTGGGATCTGGACCCCAAAAAGGAAAAGCCCTTGGACTTTGCCACATGGCCAAATCTCTGGCATTCTCATCTGAGGCTATATTCCCATCAACTGGCCTTTCATTATCACCTGTGCCCAATCTCCCAATTCTCTGTTACCCTTAATCTAGCTTAGCCCTCCATTGTCTTACCTCCCTATGGCGCAGGACACTTCCCATCCTTAATCCTATCTAGGCTCCATTCTCCCTTGGCTGTGTGGTCCAGGTGCCTGGCTTTCTGTTACCTCTCAGTCATCCTAGCTTATTGGCCGCTCCCATCCAGATGCTCCTTAGACCCCTCCTCCAGTCACCCCAGACTACTTGTCCACTCCTAGATCCCTCCCACAGTCTTTCTGTATATAAGGTCTATCAGGCCTCCATTAAGATGCTCAGATTCTTAAGATCTGGCCTGCTTGCATTAGAGATACAAATGCTCAGGTTCCTTAAGAGTCTGGCCGATATGGTGGATCTTAAATAAACCTTGTCTTTGGCTGAAAGAAAGCTTGAATCAAATTCATTTGGGTAGGACCCACATGTCATGATTTGGGGTCCCAGCACCCCTAAACCTCCAAATCTCGACATCACTGGATTGAAATTCCCATTTCAGTCTGAACTCCCTACTACTGTTAGCAACCAGTAACTAGTGTCTGAGTTCCATTTAACTAATATCAGTTAGCTTTTTCAAAGGGATACTTGCTTCAAAGACATTGAAGGTACAGAAAGCACAAAAGTACAAACATTCCGCTCCCAACACCTCAAGGGCACACTTTACCCTCTGCTATCTTGGACTCTGGGGAGAATGGGTCTCCAGATGGAGCTCAAGCAAATGAGTCCTTATCTCACTTCCAGTTTGCTCCTGGAAGTCACTCCTTACAGAGTGGAGGCTGGCTGCAAAACCCAGCATGGATTTGACCCCCTCAACATCAGTTGCCTTACCTGACCCCTTGAAACTCACTCACAAAGTCGTAGCCCCAGTTTCACCTAAAATGAACAATGAGACAAAAAACTGAGGCCCATATTCATAGGCTACATGTTGGCATTGTGTTTCTTTCATAACATTGTCTTTCTGTAGCATACCGATAGCAGGAAGCAATCAGCAGAAGAGGAGGGGCCACTGTTCTGGTGGGTTAATGTCCTCTGACTATACTTTCAGCCTTACAGCCACAGCCAGAGGCTTATCCTCACTGTATGGTTAGCAGACCTGAAGCAGTTACAGAATGTCTGCACATACTCTAAATCTCTCCAAGGCATCTACCATTACACAATTATTACTCTTCTGGAAGAAGAGTTCCCTGGTGTCTGCCATGTTCGGGAGGTTGGTTGAATCAGAGGATATTGCATGTGCTCTTAAGGACTGGCTGAGTGACCTGTCTCCCATTGAAGTCATACAGACTCATCTGTTATTAAAATGTTCTGAGCTGATTGTAAGATATTACAGTATAATAAAGGTGTTAGAAACAGTGAATTGGGAGGCAAGTTTTAATTCCAATTTGGCCACTATAATCTGTGACTTGGTTTCCACACCTATAAACTAAAAGGTTTGAGGTAGATAATCACTAGGGTCCTTTCCATCTTCAACATTCTCTGGCCCTATCAATGATTATTAAATTGCCTTTATAACTTGGCCTGTGTTTCTACTTACTTGACAGTAAGCAGATTGCTTTGACTTTCTGTGCCTTGATTTACTCTAAAAAAGTGCAGTGTTTCCAACCTGAGAGATGCCAATTCATTTTAATAAGTATGCATTAATTATATACATAGAGGGTACTTGCTAGTTGCTAGAGATACAAAAATATGATGCCATGCTTTTAAAGACACCTTTTTTTATGACACCTTGCTAGGGGATGGGGTGGGATGGGGACACAAGTATGAATCACATGTATACAAATAAATATAAAATGAAGAATGAGAAGAGTATAGCAAAGGGACTGAGCCCATTCCAGACATTAACATAAGGAAAAATGAGAATTGGGAGTCTAGTCTGCCTGGAACATTGAAATACTATTGGGGAGTAGTATGAGATAAAGCTAAAAAGGTAGGATAGAATCAGTTTGTGAAGGTCTTTAAATAGTAGAAATATGACATTATGCAGTAGAGAGCTACTGAAGATTTTTGAATATCAGAATGGTATGATCAGACCTGTGCATTAGAAAGGTTGACTTAGGCAGGCTGGGACAGACTTGACCTATTAACCTTATAGAGAATTTGACAAT